CTGGAATAGCCTCATAGGATATGCGTCCGTCCCCTGCCACAATTCATGACCTTTTCATTTCCTTCTCTGACTGTCTCCTGTCAACCAATATCTGATTCATTCCTTCGTGTTTCCATCCCTGTACAGGTAAAACTTCTTGCATGTATGCACGGTTAGGAACCTTGTTAGCGAATCTTCGACTGTGTCTATTCTGTCTGTTATCTGTTATTTCCATCCATTGCAGTGATGTTAGCGAGAACAACCTCACTGGCCAACTCCCTCCAACAATGGGCAATCTCGGTTATCTTTCATACCAGTAAGGCACTTAAGCATTGTAAAACAGACATAACGTGCACAATGTGCACAGGGTGAAGCTAGTTCAGAAATGCTTGAGAAAGATTTCACAAGTGGATACAAGTAAAACATAAACTAAAATGGACAGAGAGTGAAGAGAACTCACTTGGAGGCGACTTGGGCTGGTCCAAGTGACGAAATGGGTCTCCAAAGGACTTGGGGTGCTAAATGGATGCTCAACTCACCCACAGTGAAGATAGAGATGTGAGAGACCCACAGCTCGGCTTTTGCCTAACTCCCCTTCCACAGCCTAGACTACAAGCTCCAGCAGCTAGGGTACCTGGACTCTAATGAAGTAGTTTGGCGGAACAGAACTCAACTTCTTGGTGTTCCGTTTCCTTCACTCCCAAACGTCCACCAAGCATAGCCACACCAACCTGGACGCCAATATTCACCATCCAGGATCATGTGTCTCTAACAAAGGCTGCTGACATGGCGAACACGAACATGTTCGCTTTCGGGAAAACATCAAGGTGTTCACCTCCCAAACGCGAACACCCGAACACAAACGTGTTCGCTTCCTCCACCTTCGGGCGAATACTAACATGTTCGGTTTGCCGAACATGTGTATTCGATGCAAGGCAAACACGTCACTTTCATGTTCGCCTCAAACATGTTCGTGCTCGACTTTTCAACATCCGTGCACTAGCCCGGGATGGGTAAAATGGGCTACTATTTATGGCATGGCCGGCAGTTCCAGCAAGTATAGGTTTCCCACTGGTTTCTTCCCTAAAACGCCCCGAACACAAGACAACCACGAACATGTTCGCCCCGAACCGAACCTATGATGGATTTGACGCGCTCAGCGTTTTGACTCTGAGTAAAAAAGCTAGCGTTTTGACGCTATTGATGCCCCCTGTCGGAGGGGTACCCCCAGTTTGACGCTCTGGCGGGCAGGCATAAAAGATTCCCGGGCAGGGGTAAAAAAAAAACTGGGAACAGGGGGGTTAGTAAGAGAGGTTGGGGGGGGGGGGGTGGGGCAGGAGTTGTAGGACATGTGGGGCAGGAGTTGCTGGTTGGAAACCCTAAAATGGGGTTTCCAGAGGAGAATTGTGGTGAAATAGTAGGGGATAATGGGTTGGGTTGAGTAGTTTCAAGGGGGTCGAGGGTGGTTTGAGTGTTGGTTTGGTTGGGGCCTGTTTTGGGGCCTTAAATGTCGAGTTCAATTTGGCGGGTCGCGTTTTAAGCGTGGAATTTCGATTTCATTTTTTTTCTTCTTTTTTTTTTAAAAAATCGGGCTGCACGAAAAAAATTACCAGTGGCGTCAAGCGTCAAAACGGATTGACGCGTCAAGGGTCAAAACGTGGAATATTGACCCTTGACATTTTCAGTTTTTGGAGTCAAATCCATTATAGCCCTGAACATGTTGGGCCAGAAACAAACAATTGTTCGCCCTTGTACTCATGCCTAATTGGCATGGTAGAGTAGTACAACGTGTTACGATAATCCAATAGCAACCTTAAAGCGTTTCACTTGGACCTGAAACCCATTTACGAAAATGCTCCATATGCAGCTGCGGTCACATGTTCCATATGAGAATTTTGCATGCAGGAACATATCCTCGACTGCAATCACATGCCCACCTGACTATAGTAGCTGCGTGGTCCCACAGACCCCTTCAAGTTCTTTCTGCAGCGAGTGCAGCTCCTTCTGCACCACATGTGACAAGCCACGACCACGTGAGACACTCCTTACGCAGGTAGCTGCAATTAGTGCTGCCTATTTTCCTTGCTCTCATTAGTACTGACCGGATGAACATTTCATTTCCACCTAGCTTCTCCAATGTCAGGCATGCACAGCTTAGCTTCTCTCCGAATGTGCACGCACTGTTGCGATTTTATTGTGTGGCCCTCATGGCCCTTACTGAAATGTACCCGTTTCTACCCTTCGGTGCCTTTTGCTTCTTCTCCCTATGCAAAATGTGCTTGATGCCACATCCTCTTTCACCAAGCCCACTATCATCCCTATGTCTGATTGCCTTTTTCCTTCCCTATCCTTGTCTTTCTTTCTACCCCATACGTGTACCCTCTCCATCGCCAGTGCCAAAACCCTCCCCATCGCCAGTACCAAAACCCTCTCCGTCACCACCACCAAAACCCTCCCCATCACCAGTACCAAAACCCTCTCCGTCACCACCACCAAAACCCTCCCCATCGCCAGTACCAAAACCCTCTCCGTCACCACCACCAAAACCCTCCCCATCGCCAGTACCAAAACCCTCTCCGTCACCACCACCAAAACCCTCCCCATCGCCAGTACCAAAACCCTCTCCGTCACCACCACCAAAACCCTCCCCATCGCCAGTACCAAAACCCTCTCCGTCACCACCACCAAAACCCTCCCTACCGCCAGCACCAAAACCCTCCCCACTGCCAGCACCAAAACCCTCCCCATCGCCAGCGCCAAAACCCTCCCCATTGCCAGCGCCAAAACCCTCCCCATTGCCAGCGCCAAAACCCTCCCCATCGCCAGCGCCAAAACCCTCCCCATCGCCAGCGCCAACACCCTCCCCATCCCCAGTGCCAGCACCCTACCCATCGCCGGTGCCAGCACTCTCCCCATCGCCAGTGCCAGCACCCTTCCCGTTGCCAGTGCCAGCACCCTCCCCATCGCCACTACTAGCACCTGCTCCACCCCCTCCCATTTCAACTCCTAATGAACGTGCAGCCTCTGCTTCCCAGTCCGGAGGCGGCTTATCCAGCGGGGCCATTGCTGGCATTGCTGCTGCTGGCGTTGTGGCGGTTCTCTCGTTGTTACTGTTGAGCTTGCTGCTGTGCAAGCGACATCGCACCAAAGAGGCAGCAGGAGGAGGTGGTGCCAGCACTGATGTGGATGGCAAGGACTTGGCAGAAGAAAGTGCGCTCAAAGGTAAGATGTTTCCAATTCACGTTGTTCCAAAACCTCCATCATCCCCAGCCTTATCTCTCGTGGTTTGTCATCCACTTTTGGTCTTCATCTTCGTCTCAAAACCCCTCACAACCTCTCACAGACACAAAACATGAGTTTCCAAGCACATTATCCACAGCAGAGGAGAGAGACCCAGAAGCAGCAGCTGCTGCAGCCGCAGCAGCGGTGGTTGTGGCAGCAGGAGCAGCCGCACGGGAGAAGCAGAGAGGAGTGGTGGTGGAGATGGAGGCAGTGAAGCCACATGTGTGCCAGAAGTTGACTCTGGAAGAGCTCGCAAGCGCAACGGGAGACTGGGCAGAGGGGAACAGGATTGGCAGCGGCAGCTTTGGAGATGTGTACAAGGGCGTGTCACTGCATGACCCCAATGAGATTTGGGCTGTGAAGCGATCTAGGGTCCTCTCCAATGACTTCCTCACAGAGGTACTAGATGGTTCTAAAGATGCTTCTGGTTTCACACCATGATTGATGTTGCGATATTGTTATTGGATGACCTTTGTATTCATTTGAGTGCGTGTGCGCAAGCACGCATGCACACACACACACACACACACACAAGTTGTACGCTACACACGAATACATGCACAAACACATACAAATACATGCGTTCACATACACACACATGCATGGACATACACTCATACACACGAACATACACACATGCACACTCCACATATGTGCTCTTTTCCTGGATAATTGTTGTACCACTCTACCATGCAGGTGAAGGAGATGGCTAGCAAGCACCACCCCAACTTGGTGCGCCTGTTGGGATTCTGTGTGAACTTTGACCCCGCTACAAGTCTCATGGAGCAAGTACTTGTGTACGAGTTCATGGCCAATCGGGACCTTGAGAGCTGGATTGGACCAGGTACATAAGCTTCTCTCTACACCTGACAGCACTTTTCTTTCACCAGTCAACTCCCTTTCACCTGGAACCTGCACCTTCGAATCAGGTTTCGGAATTCGCGCCTCTCACCGCAACCATTCATTTTGTCATTCGCAAATGCTGATCAGAAGTCAGCATTTTCAGATTTCAACCCTATTGTAACCATTCTTATGCTTAATTATTAACTCAATTATAATCCATTGGCATGGAAAATTTGTTTTCACTTTGTCCTTTTTCAGGTGCTCCAAGCCCCCTCTCATTCTTGCAACGACTTGACATTCTGATTGGAGTAGCCAAGGGCTTGCATTACCTTCATGATTTTGGCATTGTGCATCGCGATATCAAGCCAGCCAACATTCTTCTTGATGCAAATATGCATGTACGTCTAGCACCGTTTTCTCCTTGCATTCTCTTTGACCTACATAGACTTTATGTTCTCTTATTTCCAGCATGCTTTGACTGATTGAAAACAATTGGTGCTGCCCAACATCTGAAGTCTGTCTACATGCACATGTGACTGTTGTTCAGGCCAAGATCGCAGATTTTGGGCTGGTGAAGCTCACTGGGGGCACAGCTATGGGCACGTCTGTGGCTGCCACTCGAGTGATGGGAACACCCGGCTATGTGGACCCTGCCTACTATAAGTCGCACAAGGCCACTCCAGCAGCAGACGTGTACAGGTGAGAGGGCAAAGAAATATCTGTTAAGTTGACTAGGAAACCATCTGTGGCTGCCACTCGAGTGATGGAAACACCGGTCTATAACTACCCTGCCTTCTCTTCTACAACTCCCACAAGTCCACTTCAGCAGCAGATGTGAGCACAAAGATGTGTTTCTCCTTATCCGTTTCTGATGCATGTAGGGCATAGAATGCTCTATGGACATGCCTCACCTTAATCTCCATTCTGGTCCACTGTATTTTTGCTGGTTTGGTGATAACAGCTTCGGCGTGGTGATGCTGGTGGTCATCTCGGCACGCAAGGCCGTGCATGTGAGCGAGACCAGCCAGATCAGTCTGAAGCAATGGGTGAGCATCAGTTGCTTGGTACAGACTTACTGCCTCAATACTTCATGAAATAACTGCAAGACTAGTGCTCAATCCTGCACTCGTGTGTAGTTCAATGAACAAGTATGTCCACATGGCCGTGTCCCCCTTCAACCCAACAGATCGTCCCATTTGTGGAGTCAGATGCCGTGGCATTGTTCAAGGACCCCCACTTGGACGCACCAGATGACTTGGTGCTGCGCTGGGCTCGTCTGGCCCTCTCCTGCACTGCCATGCCTGCAGCCTCCCGCCCCTCCATGAATCAAGTGCTGGGAGAGCTGGTGAAGTTGAAGCAGGAGGCGTTTGGAGCACGCGAGAGCCATGTGGGTGAGGCCAAATCTCACACCGACATGGAGCTTGGGAGTTCCATTGGCTCCTCCAGCTTCACTGCTGAAATGGCCCGTGCGGAGTGCGAAGGCATGCCAAGTGGCTCTTCCACATAATCAACTTTGTTCTTCACATGCACCTTACTGGTTCACCTAGAGCTTCTACTACCAATGACTTGTGCAATATGGAAACGTATATGGGGAAATAAGGCCTGTTGATAGAGGTTTTAGTAGGGTAACTGGTAACATTGTTTGTAAGTCGTCTAAGTACGCTGAAAGCAGTGATTGTAGCTTAGGCTTGTCCATGGGAGCATATTTTTTGTCTCTTAGCTACTGCATGCATTATATTAGCTATGTTGCAGAACACCGTGCATTCATGATCAATACGGAATTTTGAAAAGGCTTATTAAACCTTTTCTGTGGCAACTCGTGAAGACCTAAACTATACGATATAGCAATACTTTTTCCATGCCACATATCTAACATGGAAAGCATCACATTCTCCCTCTATTCTGTTCATCCGGACATTATACATGTCTGTTCAATGCCTTGTCATCCGTTACACATGGGCTAGAAGGGGTTTGATCCATTCACAGCCATTTCATTTGCAATGCCATTTCAGATGCGGTGGAGGAAGAGGCTTACGGGATGGATGAAACCTGGCGACAGAAGCTTCATTAGTAGGGGGTTTTGAGAGAGATTGGGGAGATTATTACTGTAATCTCCCAACAACAAGACCCGGAAATGACTTGGGTGAACATCAGAGAAGGGAATATTTATGTAGGCCAATGAACATCATACAATTTCTTAGCATGGGAGAAGAGGGGGGGTGAAGAAGGGGAAGTGGAGGCTCACATTGAGATTCACACAGCAATAGGAGAGTAATACTGTAATTTCATGGCAATAAGACCCGGATTCAGGATGGACTAGGGGGTTGACCTCAAGAATGGGAGAGTGAGACGATTCTCAAAGTAACAAACTGAGGGAGGAGACAATGTTGATGGATACATGCACTACTGGCACATATATTGCGACTAGTATAGGGAAGGAGAAAATTGAAAACGGGAAGAGGCAGTAGGAAGGAGGACAGGGGAGGTAGAAGTGGACGCTCACATTGGTGTGTGCTGAGAGTGGAAAAGGAAAGCAGGTCACAATAAGGGGGTTGGAAAATATGATATGACTTGTAAAGACGATGATGGCCAGTGCGCCGAGCACAGATACTTCATGATCCCCATCGCTGACTCATCAACTCATGGCTGACTCATCGACCCCTGGTTGACTCATTCACCCATGGCTGACTGACACTCATGGCTGACTGACTGACCTGTGGCAGAATGACTGGCCTGTGGCTGACTGGCTGACCCCTAGCTGCCTGACCCATGGCTGACTGACCGACCGATGGCTGACTGACTGACCCATGGCTGACTGACTGACCTTTGGCGGAATGACTGGCCTGTGGCTGACTGGCTGACCCCTGGCTGCCTGACCCATGGCTGACTGACCGACCGATGGCTGACTGACTGACCCATGGCTGACTGACTGACCCATGGCTGACTGACTGACCCATGGCTGTCTGTCTGACCCATGGCTGACTAACTGACCCATGGCTGACTGGCTGAACCATGGCGGGCTGGCTGACTCAAGGTTGACTGACTGACCCAGGGGCTGACTCAATGACTGACCATTGGCTGACTTACGGACCCATGGCTGACTGACTGAAACATTGATGACTGACTGACGAACCCAGGAGAAGAGGGAGAATAGGATAACATAAAAATATAATAGTGAGAAAAGATTATAACGGGGACGTCCTCTCAGAGTGACCCACTGCACGGACGCTCGCACAGTAAGCTACCTATCTACGGGGAAGCACGGTTGCTACTCCAGATTGGACCCCTTCGATGGAAGCCTGCACTCCCCGTCACAAATATCAAAGGACTCGACGTAATCTTCGGGAGAGACTTTCTTAAAAAGTTCAGCCCCGAGATCAACTGGGTTAATCAGACGGCCAACATCAACAACAACGGGAGGAAAATCAGCCTTCCCAAATGGGACGACACGGGAAATATTCCAGTCGAGACACTCGCACGCTTTGAAAAGGACGTCAAACGGACCACGACGAGATTCATGGCGATAGTCAATGAAGCAGACAACGGAGAGAAGCAGACCCAGGAACTTCCTCCAGCAGTCAAGAAAATTCTTGAAGAGTTCCAGGACGTTCTCCCCGACGATTTACCTTATCAACTACCGCCATACCGGACACATCAACACGAGATCGTAGAAGAGCCGGGGTCCAAGCCAACGTTCCGAGCACCATACCGGCTGAGCCCGACAGAGCTTGCCGATATGAAAAAACAAATAGAGTATCTCCTGGAGAAAGGGCTGATTCGACCTTCGACTTCGCCGTACGGAGCTCCAGTTCTCTTCACTCCGAAGCCAGACGGAAGTCTGCGAATGTGCATCGACTACCGAGCCTTGAACAAACAGACTGTAAAAAATAAATACCCGATACCACGGATCGACGACTTACTCGATCAACTTCGCAGTGCTACGGTATTCTCCAAGCTCGACCTCAGATTGGGATACTGGCAAATTCGTATGGCGGACAACTCTATCCACAAAACCACTTTTCGAACTCGGTACGGGTCATACGAGTATCTCGTAATGCCATTTGGACTCACTAACGCACCAGCCACATTTCAGGCGGAAATGAACCACATCCTTCGGCCCCTTGTGGACGAGTGCGTGGTGGTATATTTGGACGATATCCTGATCTACTCGAAAGATATGAAGCAGCACGTTGAGCATCTACGACGGGTGTTTGAAATTCTTCGACGAGAACGCTTCTACGTGAAACTATCCAAGAGTGAGTTTGCGTTGAAAAAAGTCCAGTTCCTTGGACATATGGTGAGCGCTCAAGGAGTTCACGTGGATCCCAAGAAGATCGAAGCAGTGCGAACGTGGAAGACCCCTGAGAACGTGAAGGAGTTACAACAGTTCCTTTGATTCGCCAACTACTACAACCGGTTCGTACCGAACTACGCCAAGATTGCCGCACCGTTAACGAACCTGTTGAAGAAGAATACACCATATCAATGGGAGGCGAAGCACCAGGAAGCCGTGGAACAACTTAAAACCGCACTCACGTCCGCACCTGTCCTTATCCTGCCAGACCCTGAACTTGACTATGTCATCGAGGCCGATGCTAGCAATCAAGCAGTGTGCGCAGTACTCATGCAGGATCAAGGGAAGGGACTGCAACCCATTGCATACCTCAGTAAAAAACTTCACGGGGCAGAACTCAATTACCCCATCCATGACAAAGAGGCCCTCGCCATCGTCAACGCATTTAAGGCATGGAGGTGTTATCTCGAAGGAAGAAAAACGACCGTCTACACCGACCACTGCAGTCTCAAGTACCTGAAGACCCAACCAACACTCTCCAGGCGGCAGGTCCGGTGGATTGACTTTCTCGAAACCCACTTCCATTACGACATCGTGTATAAGCCGGGGCACAAGAACAAGGCAGACGCACTGAGTCGCCCTGCACACGTTGCCGCCCTACAAGTCGATGGCATGAACCCACTTTTGAAGGGACTCTTCACGCATGGATACACCATCAACCCCGAAGTCTCTATAGCAGAAAAGCGCCATCTTCTACATTGGGATCAAGACATCGCATACCGCAAGGGCTCCACAAAAATATGGGTACCTAATTACCCTACCTTACGCCAGTTAGTGCTCGAAGAATATCATGATGTTCTCTACGCGGGCCACTTCGGTAGTAACAAGACGCTTGCCGATATTGCGAAGCATTATTATTGACCCTACATGGCGGATGACGTACAAAACTTCGTCACCTCGTGCGACACATGCCAACAGATGAAGAGCAGCAAACAGAAGAAAGCAGGATTACTACAGCCTCTTCCATTCCCTGAACAGCCTTCGAAAGTGGTTAGCCTCGACTTCATCACCGGGTTACCACCTACGAATGCTGGTTACAACGCCATTCTAGTCGTCATCGACAAATTCTCCAAACCTTCAGATAGCCGAGTAGACCACGAAGTTTTCAGGCCGGTACTAGTGGCCACGAAAGGCTCCGTATGTCTGACGACGGCGTCACTTTGGAAGCCATAGATACCCTGGAGGCCCAGGAGGCTGCTATGCGGGAGCGATTCAGCGATACTGGAATCAGCGCGGAGGACTTGGAGCTCATGGTTATTGGACTCCATGAACGGTGGGTGTGTGATCATCCACCTCCTCGTGGTGCTGAAGCGGACAACGGGTCTGCCGCTCTTCGTGCTGAAGACAATGACGTGAATCTTGGCAATGGAGGCAAAAGGGCAATACGTGGACTTGTACGGGGGCCCGTGCAGGCCAACGCCACGAGTGTCGGAGGAACGCAAGCGCAGATGCTGCGAGCGGCCGCTACTGGAAGTGCACGCGGTGGTGCGAATGGGTCACGAATCTCTGCTCGTCGAAGTGTGGACAGACGCGCGAGGGCGTCTCGGCCTTCGACCTCTCGGGACATGGGCATCGCCCCCGAATATGGCTACTTCAAGTTCTCACCTGACAAAATCGCGGTCCCGAAACCGCTTGAAGGACGCCACTGTGGAGATAAACTCTACAACGGTAGTGAGCTAGACTACAGGGGTTGGCACAAACTACTAGAGGTGATCATAACTTTGCTTGGTTCTTTAGTGTTTGCACATTCACGGAAGAATTTGGCAAGAGTTTTTTTACTAGCAAAGTTGGAATTCCAGAATCATACAACAAGAGATGGCAACAATGACTACATCAGACACCTAGCAACCCTGCTGCTAGCCTGGCTGACCGCCAGCACAGCTCGGTTGACCGCCTGCCAGCGTTGCGTAGAGGAGTCATGCCAGTACTGCAGAAAGGCGGCCTGCCAACGGAGCAAGTCGACGGCGTGCCAACGCTGCAGCAGAGCGGCTGTCCAGCGTTGCCCCGTAGAACGCAGCAGTGTGCACGCTCGCAGGTGTGCGCAGACGATTGGCCTGACTTGCCTTGCTGGGCATCCGTCGGCTGTTGACTGCGCCTGATGAGCCACATCAACTTCGGGATACCAGCCCGAAGTCGCCTGCGCCATCGCGGTC